TTCGATCAAGTCCCAAACGAAAACTCTTTTCTCTCGCTGCTGCTTTGCTGCACTGCCTTTGCGGGCGATGCAACGTTTTTCCCTTCGAGGTCCTCGGCTTCCCAAGGATCCCAAAAGCTTCTGCCAAACTCTCTCTCTTCTTTGTACCCTGTGTATAGCTATACCCCCGTGTACCACTTATTCTCTCGCCGCTCTTCCACGAAATTTCCGGAACGCTTCCAGAAACCACGGATTCACGGTTGTACCGAATCCTTCGTTATTTGTCCGGTATTCGAGAAGAGTGGTGCAGCCCTAAGCTCGCCCACTCCTCTCACTCCTCTTCAGTACCAGCAACGTCTGACTCGGGAGTCAGCAACTAATAAAAGCATCTTCATATTTCCATTCCAAGTCTCTCGCGGTTGGAGACGCACAGAGTGTGAACCTCTGAGGTAGGCTACACAGCCTCCTGGCATCTGCAGCATCGTGCTGCTGCTAGTGCACAGCGAAATATCACTGACAGGGACAACACCTCTAACTCGGCGTAGAAAGCTCGGATCGACCTCAAACCAAGTTTGTTGTAATCCTACCGGACACAGCTTTCACGGAATGTATTTTGAGTCCACAACGGAGCCGGGGCCGAGGAGATAGAGCCTAAAAAAGGGGCTCCGTGGCTTCGGTAAATCCACGTTTTCCTCCATAACTCGGCCCAACCACCTCCGAAACACCCCCAAAGACCTTTGTAGTGCTTGTATGATCCACAGCTATCATCCAAGCCATCGGGTGGCCTTACCCGACCTGTACATGCGGAGATATGCCCTCCCAAGGGGCACCGCAGGATTATTGGGAGGTGTCCTGTACATATCCGCGTCGTTACATCGATGCCCACGCCCCGCCAAGATGGGAAAGGGCCGGCTCCGTTGTGGACTCCAAATACATTCCGTGAAGCTGTGTCCAGTAGGATTACAACAATCTTGGTTTGAGGTCGATCCGAGCTTTCTACGCCGAGTTAGACGTGTTGTCCCAAATAAAAAATTGGGACAACGTTGTCCCAAATAGCCGTGCCGTTTGTTTTACTAGTGGAGTATCGCAAAGATCTACCTGTTTCAATCTACCTGTTGTAGTACAGATCGTGAGATCCAAAAGCTGTGTTGTTTGTAGATAGATCTTGGAAGGGTTCAGAATACCGGTAGGTCCAGTGCCTGGCAGGCCTCACGGATTTTCTTTCGTGTGACTTGAATGTACAACATCCATCTTTTTGGAGGGAACTGGTGGAACAAAAACTGGTTTGTTTCCGGCGGTTGACATGCACACATGCGTGCATGCGCACGGCGTCTGGCTTTCTTATTGACGCACGGGCTGCTCTGTACTTTTGTAGTAAAAATTTGAAGCATTGTGCATCAGACGATGACATCACGCACTCGTCCTTTCTTTTCACTGCAGCAGCAGCACGTACCTTGTGTCTGGATGGTGAGTGCCGTGTCGGGCCTGTATCTACAGGTATTGCCGTTGTCGTAACTGCCGAAACGCGATATCTTGATATGACGCACACACAAGCATCTCGACTAGCTGATACATGCGTTCAACGCAACGGCCGAGCACGGTCGGCTACAAGCTCCTGGGTCTAGTCTACAGAGTGCCATTTTTTCGCTCTTCTTGAAGCCAGGGGGCAGCTATAACAACGGTCTGCTTCAGCGAGAAGCGTCCAAAACGTGTCCATCGTTTGTAGGCCACAAGGTGTGTCTTCATCTGAGGTGGTTCGCCCTCGCCGCCGAGGTACCTACAGGCCCCATCCAGGCCAGCTGAGTGCTGTGATACACAAACAGCACAGCGACGAGAGGGAGGCCCACCATTCATTTCGAATCGTTTCTCTAATATTTTTGGTGTGCATGACATCCGACAGACGCGACTCCTGTGTACGTAATTTTAGTGCTCTTTACTAGGGCAGAGAACGAAAACGAATTTCCAGACTACATTCTACTACAACGTATCTCTCACTGCTGCTGTAGTACACTCTTCAACCACATCGATCGGAATACAATTGTAATGTCATGACAACAACACCAATCGATGTATAGACTATAGTTTAGCCTCGACTAGATACTTGTCGGGAGGTGCGCCTCATCTCGCCGATAAACTCCTCCGTCCTGGGGAAATCGGCTGTCAGCTCCGTTCACATGCGGCGATGTTGATTGACTAGTCTAATTGTAGATTTTCTGGCCCTTTGCGTACGTATTTGTGAGCTTGCTGCATGTACGTATGGATAGATAGTCTACTGTGGCTTCCCTGGAAGGAGTATCGTTCTACGATTGATTGTATGTATATTTTCTATATAGTCTATGCATACTTGTACCTAACTGCAGAGCTGTCTACAACCTCGGCGTGAATAGTCGAGACACCCCAGTGCAGTTTGCGCCAATTGCCCGAAGACAAGCAGAGAATTTTTATGGAGTCAGTCCAAGGAAGCGGCGCCGTATCTACATATCCCACGTTGTTGTTGTTGTTGTTGTTGTTGTTGTTGTCTTCACATTAAAAACCATCCCGGTCTCTCTATCCAGTACCTCCTTCTGTCTCAATCTCTCCGTACTAATCCATCACTTGACTCGGCCAATTTCCGTGGTCACAGGCTAACGTACCTAGAAAAGGTATACCAAAATAAAATGGACCCCAAGGGTCAGCAGAGCGATAAAATACAAGAAAACAAAATATAATCAGAAACAAATAAAATAAAAATAAAATAAATAATTAGACTAGTGGAACGGCCGCACCACCAGCCTGGGGGGGTAGCCTCCCACTACATGGAGGCAGGTCGACGGCCAAAGGAAGGGGCGGGGGCCACGTACAGAGTCTAAATGCCCTGACCAAAGAACTACGAAACGCTTAGTAAACCATAATCGAATTCGTAAGTCGCGAGGGAATGGATTGCTGTACCCTTCTCGTGATAAAACACCTCAGGCAGGAACCGCAGGAGGGGGTCCAGCCCCCCCCTCCTATGTGACCCCGGTTGGGCCAGAGGGGCAGACGACAGAATCCGATGATGGGAGAAAAAAAAAAAAACTATACTGCTGCAGTACATTTTGGCTCCAGGGTGTAAGATGTTGAAAACACACAACCTGGACCGATTTTGAAAGCTTGATTACGCCCCGCCGAAGAAAACTCAAACACAAAACGATGAATTTTCAGAGAGCTCTCGACCAGACGGCTTCAACACCATCGCTCTCGGCGTTCTGACTCTTTCTGTTGTTGAGAAATCGAGCTTTGAAATTCGGTCCAAGGGTTGTGAAATCTTGTGTCGTGTGGTAACGGTCATCTGGGTCAAAACTATGGCCTCCCAACTCTGCATCAGACCCTCCGCAGGGAATTCCGCCGCATCGCTGCATGTACACATCGCCGTCGCTTCAGCTGGGCTCTCTTGCCGAACTCCCTAACGAACCATGTGGCTGCTCCTGGTATGCCTTGGATCGATAGTGGTTGACGCCTTTCCCACTTCATGTTCTCTAGGGCTGCGGGCATCATCAGCATCATTCGCAGCAACAGGTGGGAGAGGCAGCAACAAACACCGACACTCACACCGGTCTGACTCCACTTGGCCTCGGACGGGGTCTGTATTTTGTGCACCTGTCAGATGGTCGCGCTGCGCTCGTGGGAAGCATCTCCCGCGCGCGGTTATTCTCTCTGGTGCTGTAAGCCTTGCGTTGGGTATCATCCGCCCCTGAGGGAAGGCTTTTCTGCATGTTGGCAAACCCATTCAAACATGCAGTGTCTGTATTGTGTTGCAGGCGAAAGGGAGACTGGCTGTCGTGGTTGAAATACTGCTCGGCCCCTGATTCGAGAAGCTCGTGTCAACCGCACTCCGACTCGGACGGTAGTGAAGTGTGTTCCGCATTACATAACACTAAGCTGGGCCCGTGTTGGCATCCGGATCTGAGGAAAGAGATAAAGAAAACTTTCGGATGCAAACAACGGATGTGGCCGGTTGCTACTCGTTCCGTGTGCAAGCGGAGGCGTGAAACCGCAGCTTGGAGTCACCAATGGGAACTGCTGTACACAGCTACATATAATACATTTGTGTTTCATGAAATACGCGCCTCTCTGCGATCATGAGGCAGAAACGATTTTTTAGGGTCATGGAGTGTACGTATGCTCAAAGGCTGCGAACCCTTGCAGTCTTTCCAAATCTAGCTTTGTAGACTACAAAACAAAGAAAAAGAGCGTTGGTCGCGCGTGTCTGCCGACGAACGCAACGAGAGTTCAGTACGAAAAAAGACAAGGCAGGGGGCACGCAGACCCTAACCCTAGCTTAAGCGATTCCATATTTTGTCCAGCATGCTCGCTTACTCAGGAAAACCTCCATAGACTACTGCGCATCAAATCCTCCCTCTCTGTCCCTCTCTGCTGCTGTTTCTACCCCCTCGCCCCCCCAGGGCTCCCCGCTGGCGCGGTAGCATCAAGGTCGACATCATGGCGCAACAAAAAGATAAGGCCCCGCATGGGTACCGAGTTTGAGGACGAAAACGCGAAGGAGAAGCTCAAGGCCATGCTCAACCGGCAATTCGGGATCGGAGACGTGGGTTTTATTTTATTTTTTCATGTTTTCATCCAGTATTTGGTAGAGGTGTGTCCTGGTTGTACTGGATACCTGTGATGTACATGGGCCTTGTGCAGCGCGCGGGCGGGCGGCGGGCGTGGCCCACAGCATATGATGAGATGAGAAAGTATCATCTCCCTTGTTCAACCTTTCTCTACCTACTGCAACTATGCAACGACGAGCACCAGGAAGGAGGCTAGTGGATATGTATGCAGAGACGGACGCTGGCTTTATTTCATTTGGGAGGGCACTGTTGTGTAGCAAGAGCGCGAGTGTAAGTCTCCCTCACCTCGTCTGTGTAGCTCGTGTGTACAGACATCCCCGTCTCCTCTCTCGTCCTCAAACACGCGCCCAATTTACGGTTGGTAGAGAATTCCTCCACGTGTGTTACGTGAGTGTTGTGCTGTGGTTGCTGAGTAGCGTTCATGCTGATCCGCAATCAACGGTGACAAGCTCTCCCAGTACGAAAGTGACCACGCCAACCACCACTTTGTCGTGCCCAGCACACACGCAAGCACGCTCAGATTTCAAGAAACTCTTGCGAAACCCACTGATGAGCGAACTTAGTTGCGTCGACTTCACCTTTTATCTCACGCACCCCGAAGGTCATCCGCTTCCCCTCAGATTGAACCTGATCTCCGTGGCTCCCGACACCCGGCCCTTGCGTCGATATGCATGGGAACCCCCATGTGGCAGGACACACCGACCCAACCGTGTGCCTGGACCCATTCCAACCCAACCATTTTTTTTTGGCGAGTATGACACCTTTTCGTGGTGCTTGCAGGGCTCGATGTACACATATGTCGGGCCCCACTGTGATGTGTGAACTTCCACTTCCAAAATTTTGGAGGTTCGAAAAAGTCGTGACATGTCATGTTGCCCTTGTGCCACGCCATGAGCAGACTTCGCGTCCGGACGAGTGGTGCAAGCCCACGGATGTTCTTCAGACAGGGACGGTTTTGCTGGCGGACCCGAAAGCGTTCACCACTAGGAGTCATCCAAAGTGAGCAAAGGAGAAGGGGGGGACTGGGAGCCAGGAAACTCCCCAGGCTGTGCGGCAATTTTGGCCTAATGGGGGCGGGTGAAGGGAGTATAGGATTTAGTGTGCAGGAAACCGATGTAGCTTAGTGGAATTTGTGTAGTATCACTCATGCATGATTTATTGTATTTGATTTAGTAGGAAAAAAGAAGTCGACATCGGTCAGATGCATGTAAGAATGCGATACTGAAGCCTCTAGGATATACTAGGTAGTACAATCATTTTCACCCACGTACAATACATGGACTTAAGAGTGCTATATCTTAAAAACCTATAGAACAATGACTTCCCTTTCGGGAGTTTGGTGTCTTGTTTCCCAGGGGCGACGCAGAAAAACATTGCCATTGTGTTCACGGTTTGCCGTACATCCACTCTCAACGTTTGGTAGTGCTAGTTTCATCCAACTTTTTGTTTGCTGGTTCCTGTTGATGCTTTTGTGGTTCGGAAAGCCTGCCCGCAAAATCGAGGCGGGTCGTGGCGACTGGAGGTGTTAATTACACGTGCCACGGATGACTTGTGGTCCTAGGGCATGCGTGGTAATGTATCGACGAGCCCCTTGCGTGCTTCTCAGAAGGAAGCGCAGGAAAAAGGTTCGCTGCCGCGAGAGAAACATAAGCCAATGCACGAAAAACGTCGAAAAAATTAATTTACAAGTAGCAGGGCCATCCGTAAGACCTATACACACCCGTGCTATACCGGAGGGCAAACAGTGTTTTATGGGTTTTATTATGCGATTTCAACCCTATCCAATGAACAGTTCAACGCTACACACTAATCCGGTACAGTAAACTTCTTTTATTGTGCCATGCAACGTGGCGCTTTTCTGGGTGTCAATTTTTGCCCCGGGGTCGGGGTGCTCCATGGTTTCCAGAAAGGCCACCCCGGCCGGAAAGAGGAATTATAATGTTCAGCAAGTCGTTTTTCTGCTTTGGGGAGCCCAGTTGCTGCCGCCGCTGGGTGTTTCTGTTAAGCCTCCGTGCTAGAAAACCGATGCAGGTTCACGGAGAAGCCCTTAACTATTGGTGGAGCTACGATTGGGTTTCGAAGAGAACATTGCCTCCGTCCCACGAACTATTTGGTGACTGATTCTTTTGGCGCGTGCCTGACTTGCCCTCTTGTTCAACTCAATCTTCCGGCAGGATGTTGGACAAGTTCGGGCTGGCGCAGCCGTTGCCAGGCAGCGAGCAAATTCCACCCGACAGGTATGCGCCTCCCCTGTTGTACACGCCCTTTGTTTCAGTCGAGTGCATTGTCGAGCTCGTTGTGGAACGGATATTGTGTCTTTGATACGACGATGGTGTGTGCTTCTCCTGCTTTGCATGCCCAAAACTTTCGTTCCAATGTGGTGGGAGTCGCCTTAGTCCAGTATTTTTCGATATTCACCGTGCAGTTTCGTGGCTCCACCGCTTCCGTACGGCGGTCTACTTTTCTCGCGTCAACTGCTCTCGCTCCAAATCACTTCAACATCTTCCGTTTGGCGTTCCATCCTCGTCCTCTTAGAAGCAAACCGACGAATGTCCTCGGTCATAACTTCATCCACAACGTGGCCAACAAGCAAATGAAAAGCGCGTTACAGAGCAAGCCGTCCCACCTGCACAATAGAGGGCAAGGAGTTTCGATTTTGAACGGCGTACATTTTCCATCGTTGTTGAACGATGACGTTCCCATCGTACTTTCAACTTTTTACACGCTACTGTAGCACCCGACTCCCCCCGCTTTTAGCCGCTCATGCTTCGCTACCGCCGGTGGGTAATGTAATTTTACCCCTTTACTACTATTGCACGTTCCACGTTCCACATGAAATCCCTGGGTTGCCGTACTACCAGAGGACTGCCAACTCAGCAACAGCTGACACCTGGGTACAGCTGCGCAGAAGTGTGTTTGTTGCTTCCGCTGGTTTGAACACTGATGCACTCAGCGTGGAACCCACTTCCCACCCCCCCGTCGCTCTCTTCCGTAGGGCCGCCGATCTCTTGCCAGTGGTGCTGTTGGTCGGAATCGACGCCGGACGGACAATCGGCCTCATGCTCAACCGAAGAACGGGGGTGTTGATGGGAGACCTAGGAGATGATTTCACGTCGTTCATGATACAGGTCAGGACTTAACGCCACAGAGGCCAATTAAAATCCGTGGAGAATGGGTCCCCCAATCCGTGTTTTTCCAGCCTGTTGGGGGCTAATGAACAATCGATGTCACCGTTTTGTGTCCTAGTCACTTGACCGAGGCCCGCGTGATGCCTTGCAACCGTGCTGCATTTGGACCAAACAATCCCGTCAGCCGCTGTGGCTGGGAGGCACACAGGGTGAAAACGGGATAACATTCATACACACGTACCCCGAGGTCGAAGGAGCGCAGGCAATCTCGGAGGAAGAAGGGCTGTACTTCTCGGGAAACATGAAGTCGGCCTCAAAGGTCGTCACCGATGGTCCCGGGTCTGGATTCAACTTTCGCTTCTTCGCCCAGGTGAGGCCAGGACAAGCCATGGATGGAGTGTGCGTTTGTTGGCCTGGCGAGGGTACCGATATCATCACTTTGTTCAGACCTGAGTAACTTTCTTCCTCGAGCTTTTGTTTGGTGCGTGTGATACTCCCAGCTGTGCTGTTCTCCTTGTATGCCTGATACGCTTGGGGAGGGGGGGGCACGTGGTCCGCTTGAACCGGTAGCGGGGGAGTCTGGTTGCAGCTTCAGCCTCTTCGGCCTGGCGGAAGGAGTTGCGCATCAGTCTTCAGAATCATGACAACAACAATTCGCATGGGAGAGACTGAGCGTGTTGCGTTACTTGGTGGCTGGCGCATGGAGAAATGATTTGGGGAGTTTGCCTGCAGCTGTTGGTTGCTACAGGAGTTGATGTAATTTGGAGCGAGTAGTTTCCCCTTTTTCAGTCTGTATCTCTGGTCTGATTGTCGTTGGCTCCAATGTTTCGGATGAGAAACCTTCCGTTGGGTATCTTGTGTTTGTAGCCAAGCTCGTTTGGGCTGGGACACCTGGATGCTGTAGCGGCAAGATGGCTTTGCGTGCAAGATGGAGGTATTGGAAATCAGCGTGTGTGTTTAGTGACGACAACAGCAAGAGGGTGTTAACAGCATGCTATGCCGCATCGGTGTGGGCAGTATCGATGCAGCCGTGTTTTCCAGTCAATAATTGTGGCCATTTTGTAATCGCTTTTCGCTTATTAGTTTCGTGGCAGAACCAGAGTTGTATGTAGCGCCGACGATTTCGTTCCAAAATTTGAGGACATGCCCGCGCAAACAGAAACCGTGACCTTCCGTCAGCCTTTGAAGAAAAACCCTCCAAAGAGCGATCTTTGATTCCGATGCAAACAACAACCAAGTAACCTTCAACTTTGTCCGAACTGTCGGGAGAATGACCCTGGGTGAGCGCCACGCGAATAACCACCCGCAGCCTTCGCCCCCCCCCCGGTGTTTGCCATCGGGGTTGGGTTTTCGTCGCTTGGCAACGACGTTGTAAAACAAGCCGCCCC